CGTGGCCAAACCAATTGTAAACCATCGTGGCTCGCGCTTTCCTGCGCTTCGCTGCGTCGTTCTCGCTCGATACATTTCGCACAGTCGAAATTAGGAAAGTGTGGTCCGTGATTTGCCACAATGTGTTCCGCGCGAGCCCAGTGTCACAAACATCATATTCCCAACATCACCGTTCACCAACATCGCGGTTAGCGCGGCCTTGGAGAAACGTGTTGCTGTACGCGACCCCGTTCAGCTGTGCTTGACCCGCGAACAACGCAAAACCGCAGTTTGTGTTTTTTCGCTAGCTCCGGCGGCGGAGATCGGGGCCGATTTTCAGGCTCCGCTCGGTGTCAGGACGGCTTCTGGTCTTCGGACCGTTCCTCGGATTTTGTTCGACGGTTTGCAGGGCCAGCCGCCCCTCGACGGAGACGCGACTTCGCCTCATGACCATCGCCCTTTGCGTGGCAAGCCAGCCAGTACCCCAACGGTGCCTCGCGTCAGCCACGCGCAGAGGAGGGGGGGGGAGGGGGGGAGGGCTTCGTGGAAGCGAGTAGGCCCGCGCCTTCTAAGGAGCAGCCTCCTGAGAGGCCCTCCCCACTCCCTCCACCCGCTTGTGCGCGCCGCCAACTTGTGGCAGCTCCTCTCCGCCACGCTTCACCGTCATTCCTCCCTCCACCGTCGGGGTGGCTCCTTGACGCTGACTTCGATTTGTCAGAAGAGCAGCGAGCGGCCGCGAAGGCATTCGCGCGCAAACTGGCTGGTTAAGGACACGCTTCGGCGCCTGCTGTTGCGCGTGGTTTGCCGCGTCGGCGGCCTTGTCAATCAGTATCGTTTACCCGACCCCCATCCTCATCCTCATCCCCTTCGAGACCCCCGCCAAACTACCACCCCAGTTGGGGATGCACCCCTCGAAACCCGAAGGGAACGGCCTAATACATCCCCAGGCCGAAAGTTTTTCCTCTTGGACTAAAGATATGAGAACATCAATGGATCCAATTGGATCCCTTTTCGGGTGTGGGAGAGTTTCGTGGATCCTGTTTCTGTGCTGCGCGGATCCAAGTTCCTGTGTGTGAAAAAAACGATGGATCCATTTATTTCCCGGGAATAAATATATATGGGTATTCCCAGGATGAAGAGGGGAAGGATGAGGGAAGAGGCAAGAGGAGGTGGGAGGAGAACAGAGGGGATCGGCGCGTCGCTTCCGACATGTGGGACTCAAGAGGGAAATGTTTCGGCCTGCGTAAGTATCCCCATCTAGGGAGGTAAATCGGCCAGTGGGGCTCAGGCCACGCCGCTGGGGATGGGGGTCGGATAAACGATGCTCAGTCGAGCCGTCGTGTAAGGTCGCTTCGTCCTCGTGCTTGAGACCCCCCTCAGTTCGTCTCTGTGCTGTCGCTGCTTGCGCTTGGAGCTCTCAAGTCCGCCGTGCGTCTCATCCCGCGATCCTCCCATGATAGGCCGCCTATCTCCTTCACTCGGCGGCGAGCCAAGGAGGGGAGTGAGAGTGGGGAGGCCTTCTCAGAAGATGATGGTGGGGCTTCTCAGAAGCCCTCGCACCTCCCGAGAAGCCGCCCCTGGCCTCGACCGAGGATTTCTTACGTGCTTTCTCGGAACGCGCGAGGGCTTTGAAAAGCCCCGTTGCTTCACCCGCCGTGGGCTCGTCGCCGATTCCTTCACCATCTTCTCATCCCTTCCTCGGCCGCTGCCGCTCCTCCCTGACGGGAGCTGTTGCCGCTTCCGCCCGGTTCGCAGGTAGTGCTGTCCGAGCGCGGCGAGGACTCGCGAGTTTGACCGCATTGGACGCTAGTTGAATCCATGGTACCAGCAGTAGTTCAGGCTAACGTAGATCGAATCAGAAGAAATTTCATTGACATCAAAGTTGGGAGTTCAGACAGTTTATTTGTATGCAGCGTCTTGCTCCTCTAGCAGATTGGCGGCATTGCCTTCGGTTATGGGCATCGTGAACAAAATCAAAGCCAGGGGATTCGGCCTTTTCTGGGCCTGGGGGACTCACTGATCGGTCTGGCTCGTGGATTGCCGCAGAAAGATGGGGCCCCAGTCGTGATCTGTCACGACGCTGCGTTTTTTGTCTTGCTTGTCGCCTCGGATCTCGGGAAAGTGCATCTGTCGGCAGTCGCTCTGGGTGGTTGTGTGTGTGTATGTGTGCGTGCAGCGCGCAGGAGTACGATGTGATGTTCTGAGCTGGTCGCGCGTCGCACACACACAGACACACACACACACACACACGAAGCGATGGTTCCCACAACTGGTGGTCAGTGATGGCACTTCGGAATGTATCACATGGGCTTCCCTCTTCTTTCGCTTCAGTATGCTCAGGTGCCATGGATGCACGCTGGCCGCGCAATGAGGTGTCTCGCCCTGGGTGGTCTATGGACAGAGAGACGTCACGACACTGTGCCTCGCAAGTCGAAGAAGAAGAAATTGCATTCACATAAACTGTCAGAGCTCCGAGCGGATTTCTTGGATCTGCGTTGGGCCCCCTTGGCGGCGCCTCCGGCGCCGCCCATGGCGCGATCCGCGCGCCAGGAAGGTGAGTCCAGCGAAGATCCAAGAAATCCGCGCGGAACTTCGAACGTGCATGTCTATGCAGTTGTTTCTTCTTCCACTGAGGGCGACCTGACCAGAATATTTTTTGATCCCGAGTTTTGGGAGGCCTCTACTTGCATCTCCTCGATTCCGGTTGTGAGTGTCGTGAGTTTTGCCCTTTCGGCCTTCCAGGGACGGCCAAAAGGGGGGTGATAACTAGGAGGAGGAGGAGGAGGAGGAGGAAGAGGAGAAGGAGGCGACAAAGAGGGAGGTGATGACCAGGGGGGTAGGGGGGTGGGATAATGGTGGGGGCCATGATTTTCGGGCCGGACGAAAGGGGGGGATAGGGAAAGGGAGGGCCAATTCCTCGATACATGGGCGCGTCCGGCGCTGGGAGGCGCCGGGAAAATCAGCTACGTGAGCTGATTCTCAAACCCTTTTTTGCCAACCCCCCCTTTCGCCCGCCTCCTGTCGCCTGGCCTGAGATATCTCCGCTGATTGCATGCCGCCTTTTCTTATTTCAATACGTCCCTGCCCGCCCCCCTGGGCCGCGCACATGCCGCAGGCCATGATTTGATTCGCCCCCCCCCCCCCCCCCCTCTTGGACGCCCCCCCAGCCCAGACCTCGCACGACGTGTACCTGTACTATACCTTTCTGCCCCCCCCTCGCGCTTCCCTCGGGGCCTCGATCGTGGGGAGTGCAGCCCCAGGTGGAGGCCAGGCGCTAGGCTAGGAGAGAGTGATGACGGTCCCGCGGCGGAGCTGCCTGCCGACTCCACGGCTCGTTGCTGACAGCGGCAGAGCGCCTGAGTTGTCTCCCTCTCGCCTCCCCTCCGCCCTCTTCCAGCACGTTCCAGAGGAGGAATATACCGCTGCCCGTCAGTCGTCGCCATGGCTGGCTTCGCCCGGGGAGGTCCAGGGAGTAGCAGCAGCGGTCTCTTTTCCTGCCCGCAAAAAAAAAAGAGCACGCGCAGATTTTTGTTCGACCCCCCGACTGGCGGCGCAACCCTCTGCGCACCCCCCTGCACAGGAGAACATGCCGCGGCGGGAGCGGGGGGGCATCCTCGCTCTGAGCATCGAGTCCCGCCCCCCAAGGGGAGCGGGCCGGTGGGGGGTCTGCCCGCTGCCAGCTGCCGCTTCCAGGGTCTACTCGGAGGTGACGATGGGAGCGAATAGCCTAGGGGGCGGGCATCACACGTATTCGCTCGTGAGCCTCGCCGAAGGCATGGACCGCCGGCGCCCCTGGATGCATGTATTGCGCTCCGTCGGGCTATTCGACCCCATCGTCGCCCCCAATCCGTTTTGACCCGATTGATTCGGTGTCGGCTCTGGCCAGCCTGACTCGATCCGATTCTCCCGATGCTTGCGCGGCGCCGTGGTGCATCCTGGCGCGGCTGATCTGGTTCGATTCCGACTATGGTGCCGATGCGGTCCGATGCGACACACCTTCCGATGTAATCCGTCTTCCCCATTCGATGTTGACGAATATTGCCGTGTCCTTGGGACCAGAGTTTCGCCCTGAGGCGTTTTTTACGGCTCGGGGTCTGACCTCCTGAGGCCGAACATGCTGTAGGACCTCAGGCTCGATATGCAGCTGCTTGCGGCAAGTCCTGCCAACCTAGCAGCCCAGCATTCTGGGTGGCGATTGGTCGAGGTGGCACGGGAGGCCGTCACGTGTGACACCTTGTGTATCCAGGGTTGGCAGAGGCGTGATGAGGATGATGTTGTTGTTGATGATGTTGATGGTGATGTCGATGCAGTTGTTGATGTTTATTGTCCTGATGACGATGTTGTTCTTGATGATGAGTATGTTGATGATGCTGATGCTGATGCTGATGCTGACGTTGATGATGATTACGGTTATAATGATTATCATGTTGTTGATGTTTAGGTTGTTGATGATGATGGTGATGGTGGTGGTAATGATGATGATGATGATGATGATGATGATGATGATGATGATGATGATGATGATGATGATGATGATGATGACGATGACGATGACGATGACGATGAGGATGACGATGATGGTGATGATGATGATGTCGGTGCTGGTGATGGTGATGCTGATGCTGAGTTTGATGACGACGATGATGCTGACAATTACGATGAAGGCCATGATGAGGGTGATGGCATTGATGCTGATGCTGACGATGTGGTGGTGAGGTGGTGATGGTGGTGGTGCTGATGGTGAAGCTGATGCAATCGATGACGAGGAGGATGAGGATGAGGATGAGGATGAGGATGAGGATGAGGATGAGGATGAGGATGGTGGTGATGATGGTGACGATACGACGAAGAGGGGCAGGAGGAGGAGGAGGAGGAGGAGGAGGAGGAGGAGGAGGAGGAAGAGGAAGGCCTTCGCATGTGTCATTATTCGTCTTCGCAATACGAGGAGCCCTCGCCGATCTCGTTGGGCTGTCTTGGCATCCTGTGAGGCAGTTTTGGTTTTGCCACGTTGGCTCCCTCTTGGACAGTTCTGGTGCCCTCTCGCGCCGTCTTGGGGTTCACTTGGGCCGTCTTTGGGCCCTCTTGGCGGTTTGGTGGGCGTATGGGGGCCATCGTGGGGCCGTCCTGAGTCCTACGGGAGGCTCTCTTGGGCCGTCTTGGATGCCTCCTGGGCCATCGTTGGATTTCTTGGGACATCCTGGGACCCTCTTGGGTTAGCCGGTAACTCTCAAGGCGTTCGGGCCCCTTGTGTACACCATGGTTTTGGGTACAATGTCTGAGAGGTGTGCCGAATTGGGCGCGGTGTTGCCATGCGGGCGCTGCCACTGGAGCCTTCGCTGGAGACCCTTATGGGGCCACGAAACGTGTGAAGGTGTGTCTAAACGGGTGCGGTGGTGCCATGCGGGCTCTGCCACTGGGGCCTTCGGTGGAGCTCCTTATGGGGCCACGAAACGTATGAGGGGTGTGCCGAAACTGGTGCGGTGGTGCCATGCGGGCGCTGCCATTGGGGCCTTCTGTGGAGCTCCTGGGGCCACGGAACGTTTGAGAGGTGTGCCGAATGTGCGTTGTCCCCACCAGAGGGCAGTTTGTCTCGCATGTTGCATCTTATGCGCGCATGCGCGCCGGTCTCTCCGTTGTGGCAGGCTGTGCGAGGGCTCGCAAAACCTTTAGACTTGGGGTTGCGTCGTCAAAACAGCGTCTCCGAAGATCGAGAAGTGAGCTGGACGTTGTGGTCGAATTTTCAGTATGAAATTATTGACATACGACATGCATACATACCCTTCGAGATCGGGTATGATGAAGTCGTGGCGGATCGTTTCGGGTGTCCGCCCGGACCACTTGACATCTCTGCGAACTCCAGCTGGAAAAAAAAATGGCGGATATCTTGGGATGCCTTGTGCTCGGCATACGGGCGCGGGTCAGTACCCCGCCTGTCGCCCGAACTGCGCACACGCTTGCCAGCCAGCACTTGGCGGCTGCTTCATTCGTAAGATGGTTGGGGGGGGTACGGCGTCAGAGGTGATGCGAGCGTCCCTGGACTGTTCCTCTTCCGGTCTCTCTCTCTCTCTCTCTCTCTTGCCTTTTTTGTTACATCCCTCACCCTTGCCGCCTCGTCCCCACCACCCGCTCCAGCAGGATCCGATCTAAGGACGGACGACCTGATTGAAGAATGCAGCCGCAGAGACTTGGCAGCACCCTTTCAGAGTCTGCGCGGGCCATGTCGGAAAAATTCCCAGGCGTCGTTTGGGAGACCGCGCCTGTCGTTCTCCGAGACTTCCGGGGTATACCGTTTCAGAAATGGCGTCGGCAAATTTGAGAGATTTTTGGGCGCCGTCGCGCAGGGACCCAGTCTCGACATTACCCTGTGACTTGTTTCAGACAAATCCATTTGGTGGGCGCAGTCATTGTCTTCTCTCCCCTTCTTCTGCTTGCTCTCTCTCCTTCCGTTCCTCCTCCACCCTGCCACCCCGTGCCCCCGTTGTTTTTCTGTTCGGCCAGCCAGCTGAGCAAAGATACGTTTCATCGTCGGGTGGGCTTTTATCGCCACGGCGGGACATGCAGCACTACAGCGACCACAAACGCAGGCGAGGCCTCAACACAAACATGGCGGCAGGTCTGCCCCCTCGTTGTCAAATAAAGTTTTGCTGGAGTCTTCGTCGCGTTCTTTCAATTTGTTCCCACCGTCTTTGGGCGCATTGGAGACATTTTGAAGCTGCGTTTGGCCCTCCGTTGATTCGAGTCCGCTCTCACACTGGGTCCCACCACAGCGCGGGAGGGCGCAGGTCGCATAAAGCAAAAGCATGCGGAACATGCGAGGAAGCAAGAGAACATTTGCTTGGCGAACGACCCACCCATATGCAGTTGTAGGTACCGTCGTTGTATGCACCGCAATCGGTGGAAGAACCTATGGGGCCACGAAGCGTGTGAGGGGTGTGCCGACATGGGTGCGGTGGGCGCATGCGAGGGCTGGCATTTGGGCCTTCGGTGGGGCTCCTTATGGGGCCACGACGCGTGTGAGGGGCGCACCACAATGGGCGCGGTGGGCGCATGCGAGCAATGGCCTTGGGGCTCTCGGTGGGACTCCCTATGGAGCCACGATGCGTGTGGGTTGTGCGTGTGTGCCAAAATGGGCGCGGTGGGCGCATGCGAGCGCTGCCATTTGGGCTTTCGGACGGGCTCCCTAAGGAGCCACGACGCGTTTGGGGTCTGTGCCAAAATGTGCGCGGTGGGCGCATGCGAGCGATGGTATTTGGGCCTTCGGTGGAGCTCCCTATGGGGTCACGAAACGTGCAAGGGGTGTGCCACAATGGGCGCGGTGGGCGCATGCGAGCGCTGGCATGTGGGCCTTCGGTGGAGCTCCCTATGGGGCCACGAAACGTGTGAAGGGTATGCCAAAATAAGTGTGGTGAGCGCATGCGAACGCTGGCATTTGGGCCTTCGGTGGGGCCCCCCATGGAGCCACGACGCGTGCGAGGGGTGTACCACAATGGGCGAGGTGAGCGCATGCGAGCGATGGCATTGGGGATTTCGCTGGGGCTCCCTATGGAGCCACGACGCGTGTGCAGGGGGTGCCAAAATGGGCGCTGCGGGCGCATACGAGCGCTGGCATTTGGGCTTTCGGACGGGCTCCATATGGAGCCACGACGCGTTTGGGGTGTGTGTGTGTGTGTGTGTGTGTGCCAAAATGGGCGCGGTGGGCGCATGCGAGCGATGGTATTTGGGCTTTCGGTGGAGCTCCCCATGGGGTCACGAAACGTGCGAGGGGTGTGCCACAATGGGCGCGGTGGGCGCATGCGAGCGCTTGCATTTGGGCCTTCGGTGGGCTTTCGGTGGAGCTCCCTGTGGTGCCATGAAACTTGTGAGGGGTGTGCCGAAATGGGTGCGGTGAGCGGATGCGAGCGCTGACATTTGGGCCTTCGGTTGGGGCTCCCTATAGAGCCGCGACGCGTGTGAGGGTTGAACCAAAATGGGTGCGGTGGGCGGTGGGCGCATGCGAGCGCTGACATTTGGGCCTTCGGTGGAGCTCCCCATGGGGCCACGAAACGTGCGAGGGGTGTGCCAAAATGGGGGCGGTGGGCGCATGCGAGCGCTGGCATTTGGGCCTTCGGTGGGGCCCCTTTATGGGGCCACGAAACGTGTGAGGGGTGTGCCACAGTGAGGGGGGTGACGGGAGGAGGGAGGAGGGGGAGGAGGAAGGAGGAAGGAAGGAGGACGGAAGACGGGGCGCTGCTTCTTCGTAACGAGGACCCAACTCCACAGAATAGTCGGGAACAACAGCATGGACACGTTCAACACAGACGTGTCTGCCCAGTGTTCGGTGGGGCTCTTTCGGAAACTCCCTTCATGATCTCGGGTGCGTTCCCCTGCAGTGCCCCGACAGCGCTGGAGTGAGCGTTTTGATCCACTCCCATCGTCGTGGGGTCTTATGGAGCAATATTTGTGGCCTCTCGGGCCCTCGGTGGAATTTTGTGGGCGTTCTCCATCTCTGGGTCTCACCTGCACGCGAGGCGCTTCTTCCTGGTGTTGTGCGCTCTCGGAGCGCAGCGTGAGCCCCATCACTGGAACCTCATAGCCAGAAGTTGCACGCCTTTGAGCAACACGCGCCACGCACAGCACATCAAGGCGCAATCAATAGGGGAACAACAAGTGACATAAACATAACATTCGGACGTCCGTGCGGATTTCTGGGATCGGCGCTGGACCCCCCCTCCCTGGCGCGCGGAGCGCGCCAGGGGCGGCGCCGGAGGCGCCGCCGGGGGCCCCCAGCGCCGATCCGAGAAATCCGCGCGGACCTCCGAGTTTTTATGTTTGTGTCACTTTGTTCCTCTTAATCCAACCGCATGCTCCTCCTCCTCCTCCTCCTCCTCCCCCTCCCCCTTCTCTCCTCCTCCTCCTCCTTCTCCTCCTCCTCCGCCCTCCTCCTCCTCCTCCTTCTCCTCCTCCTCCTCCTCCTCCTCCTCCTCCTCCTCCTCACAGCAGAGGGGAGCTCAGCCCAAACGTAGCCTCCCTCCCTCCGTGCCTCTCCTGTGTTTTCTCTCTCTCTCTCTCTCTCTCTCTCTCTCTCCCGAGAGCCCCGCCCCAGAGGTACTCCAACTACGCGCCCTTCGACTTCTGGGCGCGCCGCGGGGGGGAGGGGGGGCCTCGCCGCGGCGAGGGGGGGCCGCGCGTCGTGGGCGCCGTGGGGAAAAAATCACGGCGGGAGCAGTTCGCCGTGCGTGGCGTTCCAGAAGAGGGCCCCGCCTTCGATCGCCCGAGAGGTGGGCATCTCTTCTTGGGCGGAAGGCCAGCAGAAGTCAGAGGAAACGACACGGATGTGTATACATGTATATGTGTGTATGTATATATGTATTTATGCATGTATGAATACATATATATATACACATGTGTGAATACATATATATATATATATATATATATATATATATATATATATATATGCATGTGTGTATAACTACTTGACTGTGTATACACACATGCAGCTGCATACCCATATACACATACATGTACATATATATATATATATATGTGTATATATATATGTATGTATGTGTGTGTATACGTGCACGGCCAGGTCTCGTCCTGAGATGTCCAACAGATTGTTATTTTATCCCCGTAGCCTTGGGGGGGCGTGGAGGCTTCTCCTCAGCCTCCCCGGGGCCCCTGGGGGGCGTCCCGAAGAGCCCTCCGAGTTGTGTTCCTTGTCTCCCGCTGCCATCTGAGAGCTCTCAGAGGAGCCGCCGAGGGGCCCTGGAGAGCCCTGGTGAGCCTCCCTGCTCCCGTCCCAGGATAAGGAAAACAGTGCAAACAATGAAAAGCACGGACACCACAACGAGAAACGAGGAAACAACGCGTTGTACTTGTTTGTCGCTGTGTTGTCATTGCTTGTCATGGTTTTCCGTTGCCCTTGGTGCCGTCGGGGGAGCCCCCCAGGTGCCTTGGGGAGCATTGGGGAGCGTCCCTGCTCTCTCCCCAGGTGAAGGAAAACAAGGAACACAGTGAAACATAACAAACAGCAGTGAGA